CGTCTCAAGCCATTACCGTGCGCCAGAGAAAGGTAGCATCATCAAAAAACCAGTCTACGTGATTCTTTAAAGACGCCAGAAGAGGACCACCAAATGCCAAATCCTCATGTTGGAAAGGGACACAAGCGACAAAAAACCGAAAAGACGTTTAGAAGTTGCGCGCGCTTGAGTTCTACCCCTTGGTAAACCTCTAAGAAACGACGCTGGTTTGAGGGTAAAAATCCGGCGTCTTTCCTGGTTGGCGGCGGCGACAGCGGTGGCGGTCTACCTCAACACGCCCCGCCTACTTCACCCCTCGACCACCCACACAACGACCCCGCGTCTTTACTTTTATACTCTTTCTTAATGTCAGAATAACTCGCGACGCGAAAAGAACGCCGCGCGCGGATAGATCGAGTGACCTGTGGCTTTTGTGCCGACTTTTTTACACATACGCAGTAAGTAGAGGTTTTGGTAATTACGAGGTGGCACGCACGGAGCTACAAAAGGGCCGATATTGTGTTATTCGTAGTGTTGCGCGTAATTATTTTTTTTATGTTTTGAGGGGTTGGGGTGGAAGGTTTGACAGTCGGATCACGTTTTGGTCCAGTTTACGAACGAGGGGCAAATCAGCTGATTTCTGATTCATCTTTCGAGGCACCCTTCGATGTTTTTTATTGAAGCAACGAATCACTTTGTGCTTTACGGCTTGGGGGAACGTTAAATAAGAGATGTCGCCGATATGGAATATCGGCTTTGTTATGTTTGAACTGTTTCTGGTTCAATATCATTTCTTTGACGTTTTTATTTTTTTTTAATTATTGCAAACAAAAAAAAATTAACTTGTAGTGAAACATAGAACAATATTTAGTACACAATTAATGATTTATTTGGTGCGTATAAATTTGTAATTGCTCACAAATTTGTAAATATAAACTAATTTGATATTGCAACTTGTATAATTAGAATCAAACATATAAAAAAGTGATAATTAGATAAAAACATTTAAGTTTTTAATTGAGTAGCATATTTGAAAATATTATTTATTTTGCTATTAACTTAATATTTCGTTTTGCGTAATCCAGCTTTAGCATTAATCGGCAGTCGTTTTTGAAAAAGTATGAAAGTTATTTATTTGAACAGTATAAAAAATAAAACTCGAGAAAAAAAAGGGATATTTATTTCTAGACTTAAACCATCGTGTGTATAGGGCTTCCTAAGGTATCCTACTTGTGTAACTAATAGGTTTATTTATTGGTTTTGTTTTAATTTTATAACAATTTGAGTTCACATTAGAAAACAAAATAAAAATGATACTGCAAACTTTGTTTTTTATTAAAAAAAAATAAAATAATCATTTCTGTATTATTCGTAGAACTCCTTGCTTTTGAAATATATGCTAATAATCTTATTTTAAGTGAAATTTTGTCCTCACAACTGTATACTGGTAGGTAAATGTGTCAAGTAAAGGGTTTTTTGGCTAAAATTATTTTGGTTGTATTAATTTTTGTTGTGAAAAAACGCATATTACTATTTGACATCTGAAAATTTAAAAAATTAATCGATTTCATAAATGAGCAATTTCAGCGTTTGTTAACATACGTTGGTGTGAGTATGAGTTTCAGTCTACATCGTTACTAGGTTTAGTTTTAATTTTTACAATTTAAATATTTATATTTTTTAAATAAATTATAAGAGTATAAATGATAAAAACGATTTTTTTAAGAAAAACGTCTTATCATTAGATGTGTTCAACAAAAATTGCAAGTACTTTTTTCAAATTTTGATTGGTTTGTAAATTTAAACAGTTGGTAGTATTAACTTTTATATTCAAAAGTACTATCTCGTATAGTCATAGTCATAGTCATAGTCATAGTCATAGTCACAGAAGAACACACAAACAACATAAACGGTGAATAAAAAGTATGGAATCAAGCGTTTGTTTTTCTTTACAGAAAAAATAATTAGTGTAGCGTAAAGTACAATGAAAATGTGACCATTTATCAAGAATAAGATTTTTCTAAATTTCTTTTAGTTTTAGAGTTTGGCAAAAACATTTCTTTTATAGGACAACCTACTGTTACACATTTTTTTAATTAAAGACTATATGAGTTAAAAATGACTTCTAATTAAATAAAATTATTTCTTAACCAGTAGTTTTTTTTCGCTGATCACGAAGATTTTCCGAACACTACCGAAGAGGTCGTTCATGCATTTTGTCGTTGGAGAGTTGGAAATTTTGAAGTTATAAAACTTTTTGGATAATTTTTAAATTTAATTCTCCTCTTCAAATATCGATAACTTTGAAAAGGTTCAATCTTTTGGTAGATTTATAATTGCAAAAATGATTAACAAGCTTCCAAAATTTCACGTTATCTTTGGGAAAATTCAAATACTTATAACTCAAAATTTCTAAATGAAATGTCTCAATTTGTTTTTACTTAAATAAAGCAAATTTAATGTTGCATCGATTTATATTAACATACTTTATACCTATGTTTAATAGTTTTCAAGTTTTAGTAAATACTTTTGAAATTTCAGGAAATTCATTAACCTTAGCTAGTTTAGCTGTAAATAGTCTAAAGCAGTTGATTTTCTGATGTTTTTAAAAGTAAATTTCAGGAAATTTTGCTGTATAAGTATTACTATAATTGACAATGTTTGCTCGGTCGTTATGGATTAAATAATTTTGAAACGTGTCCAGAAATATGAAAAAAATATTAAAAAAAATTACGCAAAATTTAAAAATTGACGTAAGGAGAACAAGATTGCTACAATCTCAGAAATAAATCCTCTAGTTTGTAGGCTCTCTACGTATAGTTGAAGCCATGTATAATACAAGAAGTATTTTAAGCCAGTTTAAAATACTGTTTTGAAGGATACGTATCAAAAAATCCAAGATTTTTGAGGAAAATTATATTATAAAATGTCCGAAGCTGACGACAAAATAGGATTGGTCATGAAAGTATATATAAGTACTATTGGGGACAGAGTTACTTGGTCATTATGTTTCCGTCAAAAAAAATCTAAACCAAGCATTAGCGCCAAGTTGGCGCTTGATGACAATTTTAAATTATTGACTTTTCTCGTGTAAATTTTTTCAAAATTTCCTCTGAATTTTTTCATTTAGTGGTACATTTTTCGGTATTTAACATTTTGCAATAATAAATTAGTCAGAGACAGTCAGTGACAACGATGGACAGTTGTAAAAAATAAGATTAACCATTCAATGCTTGATTTACAACCTTGTGTCCCGAATCTACAATGTAATTCTAGAAATTTTTTGTGATGATTAATTAAGCCAAGCACAGCAAAACTTTCGTATTCGATTCATTTAATTAAATTATGCACTTGCGTCAGGCGCCGATTGACAGTGACAGTTCGATAGAGAACAGATGCACAGTGGTTGCCATCATTGTAAAACTAAATTACAAGTTTTTTAATATTATTATTATAGCACCGTTTTTGTCTAGTAGGTACGATACGCAAAAGCCTTTCGTACTGATCTTAACATGCACGCAAAGTAGAAAAAAAATACAATACAACCTTTGTGGAAATAAGATTTGAGACAATTTTCTAAGTATGTACATGTTTCTTGAAAAGCAAGTTATTGAAAGAATTGTTATTTGAATATATCTGTACTGTCTCCAAAAGGCACACTCGAAAGTAGCGTTTGACCAAGTTTGACATTATGATTTTGAATAATTTTGTCAAAATCTTTTTAGTTTCACAAAATGTACTGAACACGGCTGATACGCAAATAACAGTCGCGATTAAAAGTAAAATTTACTTAACTTTATTCTTGTCTGTGATTTGCTACAGATCGGCTTTATGACGTTAATAACTATCTATTTTGGGATATCTGTTAAAATTTTTTTGATTTTCGTTGACTTTAGTAGGTAGTTTGCAAGAAATTGGTTTCCTATTTTGGAATACAGTGGCGAACACGGAATTTTGGACATCAAATTTATGTTAGTTTAAAAAATGTCAATGTAAGCCACCATTATGATTGACGTTTGAAACTAAAATTTGAAAGTTTTAGTTGAAATTTATCTTTGGCGTCGATTTCCCGTGACAATAATGCCAGCAATACCTGTTTTTATATAGGTTCAATAAATTATTTTGATTTGTTGTCAATTTTTCTAGCTATCAGGATAAGAATTACAACCGAGTAAGGTTAGTTGCTTAAGGCCCGTTTTACATTTTTTATGTCAGTCGAATGAAAAATCGTCCAAAATTCCGTGTCCAGTGTATGTTTTTAAACATAAACATGTGAAGGATTACATTTTTTTTTTTCAAAAATTGTTAGCACGTGGTACATAACTTTCTTATGTAATTTTTTTCCTCTACAAAACATTGAAAGCGTGTACTTGTTTTTGTACTCAGGTACTCAAAACAAGTTCATACTTTCAATAATAAAATAATGTGTTTTATTTAGCACAATACAATACAAGTATATTTGTTTTTTTTTTATTTTACAAGATAAGTTTTTATGTTTTATAGACATTAATAATTATAAAACCTTAAAAAAAATAAAAAAAAGTATCCTGAGATCAAATTGGTTAAATAATCGTCATTATTTTCTTGTATTTCTTGTTATAAGTGTGTTTAAATATTTTGTTAGAAGTATTTTTACTAATCATAAAAAGTTTAAAACGATTACTATTACTTAAGGATAGGAATGGATTAGTAACTAAGTTATAAAGTGTCTGGAAAATGTACCAAAGTTGATTACTTCCCGATTGATATTAAAATGTTTTTTTTTTAATTTGGCTTATATTTTCTTCTTAAATTTTATAAATAAAGTTCTAAATTTTAATAAAAAGGTGGTAATATGTCTTTTAGTAATTGACTGTAATTTTAATTCAGTAATGTGATGTTATCTGGTCAGCTTTTTGGGTCAGCTTTGGCATAAATCCATGTAATTATCCCCTTCATCAGCACTTGTTTCTGGTTTTGAAAGCCTGTATTTGTTTCCAGGTCGTTGTCAAGAATCTCGTTCCGGAGGTGTGAATCTCGTTCCGGTTGTCGTATCCGCTCGCCTCAAAATAAAAACGGTGGCGTCGCCAGCATATCGCATCCCTGTAATGGGACAAAGCGAGAGGTAGAGCGTAATTAGAAAAACATATCGCTGACTGGTCGTGGCAGGCGGGGAGAAAAGCGTCGCGGGAAAACCCCACGCGCACTTTTCCAGCTGCGGTCCACCGCCACAGCATCACAGCCGTGATTTTTCATCGCATTTCCGCGCGGTGTGCTGGCCGCGTCATGCCGCGAAGAAGTTGACCTCGATGCATCTCGCGGGAGAAGTCACCTCCACCACCGGTCACTACGACCGGAACTATGGCAATTTGACGGCGGAGATGCTCGCCGAGAGGACCATCGACGGGCTGCTGGCGGAGCATCCGGGGGAGCTGGTGAGAACGGGCAGTCCGCACGTGGTGTGCACGGTGCTGCCGCCCCATTGGAGGTCTAACAAGACGCTGCCGGTGGCTTTCAAGGTGGTGGCACTGGGGGATGTGGGCGACGGGACCGTCGTCACGGTCAGGGCGGGCAACGACGAGAACTACTGTGCGGAGTTGAGGAATTGTACGGCGGTTATGAAGAATCAAGTCGCCAAGTTCAATGATTTGAGGTTCGTCGGCAGGAGCGGAAGAGGTGAGTTTGAGGTTGAAGGGGTGACAAAAATTCCTGCATTTGGCAATTTTCAACTAGCAAAATACATTGTTTATGTTTATTTGCGGGTTTTGGACAAGGGCGGGTTGCACTCTCACCACAAACAAATTTTAATATCATTTTTGTATTTTGTTTTTAAGATTTTTTTCTTTTTATTATTTAACATGCATGTATCTTACAAATAAAAACATCAAAATTACTTTTCTTAATTAATATAAATGTAATATCAAAACTGCATTTTTGAAAAGATGTACTGATATAAGAAAAGTTAATTTAAAATTTTTGTTTGCAGTTTTGAGAATACCTCTGGCACGGGTCTTTTGAATCACCTTGTATAGTTTGCTAGTTTTTTCTATTTATTTAATAAATTAAATAAAAAAAATAAATTAAATTTGATGTGAAAAAATTTGATGTGGAAAGATTTTCAACATACTTACATAAAACTCACTACTACTCGAATTTGTAATTTGCAGATTATACAAAAGTACAGTTGGAGACAAAATACTTTGGTCGTCAATTTTCTGACACTTTAATGTAATTCAAGTTTTAACGTTAAAAGGAATGACAATTTGAAATCAATGACAGCTATTATATTTTCCTATCAAAAATATGTACAATTGCGGAATTAAAATTTCGGGCAGTATTGTCATTTTCATAATGTAAACTCTAAAACAACCTTTACATTAATAACCTCATTTTTTACTCTTGTCATGTTTATGTCATTTTACTTAAAAAATAACGTCACCGACAGAAAAGTTTAATTGTCAAATGTCAATCATGATGACAGTAAAAGGTAGTTTACAGTAAACTTTTTGAAGTGACAGAAAAATACTGCCCAAAATTTTAATTTCGTAACTGTACAT